AAAAAAAAAAAAAAAAAAGATTTACGTTGGTAGTAACAGAAAAATGTGTTCGTGGGCTTTCTACTCCAACATTCAGCGTGGGATATTAGCATTTATGAAGCATGTGCATGACTTTATTTAATTCCCACAGTCATCTTTGAAATAGGCATGTTAATCTCAAGAACACAAACCTAATAAAATCGCTCTAATGAACTCTGACGGGCCTGACTATAAAGCTTATTGCTGCTCATCATATCTGTGACTTATTGTATTTCTTAACCTCTTTGAATTTAATCCTTTTTCATCTTTACTGTGAAGAAAATCCTATCTGTATGTCCGTGTTATAGGGTTACTGAGACAGTAAGTTGCATGATATAATTTCATACAGGGCAGTGATTAATGTCACTTCCAGACTGTCTGGGTGTGAATCCTACTTCTGCTGCTTACTAGTTGCATCTGTCTTTGTTCTAAAGTTATGAAGAAATTTCTATTTGCCTTGGTTTTCTGATCTGAGAATGGAGGCTAACAGTATACCTACCTTATAAGAGTTTTCACATTAAGTCATTCATAAAGTATGGGATAAAGTAGCTAAAACATAATGCATAGAGCCCAGGTACCTAGCTTAGGGTAGGTACTCTGTGAACACAAGCATGAGATCACTGTGCTTGTGAGGTCTTTGCTTGTGATTCCATAATTAAGAAGACAGGCCTCCTGCTGTTGGATTCTCTGCTGTGAGCAGCTAGCATTTGCCTGCATCGATAATTATTTTCCAGGACAAAGCGCGCTGGGCTTGCACTCATTGAATAAGGCAAGGCTCTTGCTCATCCCACTGCGAGCTCTGGAGTTTTTGGAGAAGATAGAAAGCACAAAGGAGGGAATCCCAGGGAGAAGGCAGAAGGCAAAGCTGTGGATCTGGAAAGGAGCTCATGCTTAGGAAAAAGTGGGTGAAGTGTTTGAGTGACTGGAGCTTTTAGAAAGATTAGTTTGGGGGTGCCATTCAGGGAGAATTAGAAAAGAAAGAAAAAATATACAAGACTTGTGGAGACCAGGGGAATGTTCTTGTAAGGGAACTACTAAGGGAGAAAAAAGGGGGAGAGATGAAATGTCAGGAGAGTTTGAAAGTGGATTTAATGAAAGGTGGGTGAATGGAAGGAGGTGGAAAGATATCAAAGAAGTAGCTTCATCCCAATTGCTGTGGCATGTATGATGGCGTGCAGAAGTGGGAAGGCGATTTCAGGAAAAAGAGAGTCATGCAGGTCCAGCCAGATAGCTCAAAGGACTAAAGTGCCTGCTGAGGCAGGCTGCAGGGACCAGGGTTTGTTCCTGGAATGCTGTGCCAGCCCTGCCCCCTTGGGCATGCTGAGACTGTGACTGAGACTGGGCGTGGGTCATGGCGCGTGCTTGTAATCCCAGCACTTGGGAGGCTGAAAACAGGAGGACCACTATGAGTCTGATCGGTGTAGTGAGACCCTGTACTAAATATGTTATTAGAAAAAGAAAGAAAAAATAAAACAAGAGAGCCAATGACAGTTCC